TGCGAAGGAGGATGGGTAAAAGACCCGCATCTAAAGAAGGTGCATAGGTTTAACCAATGCCTCCATGTCGTACAGCAAACAAACCCGATGGTTCCATACATTTATGCATATGAAGATATATGTAGGGAAGCCTGGAACAGACATGTGGCGACAGACGGGCACTAAAACTCACTTTATCAGGCCACTCTGAAGACGCTTTGAAAGCCCTTGTCCATACGCTGGGTAGTGCCCCATTGGCTGTATCATCTCCATCCTTCTTTCTCCTCCTGGTAGTCATTTTGTAACACAAAACGTATGTTTCTTCTCGAGATTCCTGGCAAATTTTCACCAACGTTCCGAGGCGGCCATATTGGTAGTGGGCGATGGAACTTTTAGGGACACCACTTTAAATAGCTCAAGACAGAAATATCGGTAGGTATCCAATCACCTAAATACATATGTTTTCAATCTTAGAATATGTTTTTAAAAATATAAAAATAAAGTTTTTTTGCTGATCAGTGAGCAACACACAACAATTAATGTCACAATTAGAGGTAAACACCCCTTGTATGAATGTGATGCTCCTTGGTGGAGCTGACCTTCTACCCCATCTTCCATTGGTCGTGACGTCAGAGTAAATACAAATAATTTGCATAGAAAAGACGCGCGAAAGGCGGACAAGTCTGGGCAAGTGAGGTTTGGCCCCCTTTTGTCGTGACGTCACATCGATTCAGACCAATCGCATGGCTACTTTACCGGCAAGGGGGCGGGGCCTGTTCCAGGGTGTTTTACCAACGCGGGATGCCTGCAGTCACAACTTTCTTTTATATGACATGCAGGAGTAGCAACAAGTTCTGTTTTTATTTGCTGCGTGGCCATTTCTTTCCAAATGGAGGAAAATAAGCCGATCGTAGATTTCCTGCAGCCTTTGGGGCTGGAGACGTATGTGGGAGATTTCAAGGCCAGGGGTTTTACCGAAGATCCGGATTTCCAGGGTCTAACAGCTGACGATCTGGACAGTATGCAGATCTTAGACGAAGATCACAGAGGAAGAATACTGGCCGCAGGTGAGTTCTCCCCACTCAATCGATATTTCATGAAAGTATATGTCGTGTTTTATACGTTTGAACGATGCCACAAACATTGCAAAAAATTGCATTCAGTGATAGCCCTTACCAGGGCCTTTGTGTCAAAACGCCCGTAGGAGTAGTGTTGTTGTTTTGATTTTATTCCAGTTATTAGAAGGAAAGTTTGCATGTCACCCATGTTCTCACAATGAAATATCTTATCATAGATATACAGCAAATCATGCACGTTTGGGCCTGCACTTAAAGAAAGTTTACCCAGATCTCATGCAAACATTTTCACACCAAGTCAGCAGGCTTCTGAGGCTAATCAAATACGTCATCGCCACAGCCACTACTGCTGCACACAGCGTGAGTCATTCGCTGACTAATGCCCCTGCATCTCACAAAGAGCTCCAATAAAACGAATAAACTAGAAATCCCTAGGCGGCTCGACACAATGTGCGAACATTCGGAAGTCATTCACACATATGCGTCAATGACTACAATATTTAATTTTTGTGTGGGTGTGTGCAAAGTTGTAATGGGCCTTTTATGCACATTTTTGTGTATTCACTGCAGCACTGTTTACTTACAAAACATGATCGACTTTCCTTTATGATATTAGTGATAACCTTAATAACCTTCACTACCCTCCCTAATTCCTTAGTAGATTTCTCATTCTGTTAATTAAACAACGTTTGACCTAGATTTTGTGTTTTCTCTCATCAGCCTCTGTGCATGAAATATCCGACGAGCATAGCGTACTACAGTTTCTGCGGGAACATGGACTGGAATATTATTTCAGCAATTTCCTGGCCAGTGAGTACACTGACTTGGAAGCCATTGAAAGAATGGACCCTGGACCGGCAACATTCGACGACCTTGAAATCACACTACCATCGCACAAGAACCGGCTCACGAAAGCAGGTATGACATAAGTTTCAATTTCCAACATATTCTTGATATTGTGCTTTCTTCTGGTGTTTTAGTTGCTTCTAAGATTGTTTTGAAGAAATAGGGAAGTGACCAGAACTGTTCCACAGCCCAGACGCTGAAACAAAAAGATTCGGGGATTTTTCGTGACGTATGTGTTGCTATTTTAGGCAGAGCGCTGCGCCCCCCTCCACTGTGTTTGGCGCGCTTTTTGGTGCATCACGGTATAGGTTCTTGGGTGACGCCCATTGTTTGTGGCGGCGTGTGTTAAGACGTTGGAGGGGCGAGCGTAACACTCGGGCTAAATACTCTGACTTTATTCTAATAATTAGTATTAAGGACTATTAAATATTGCTGAGAAAATCTATCAAGTTTCTTTCAAGGCTTATGCTGTGGTGGCTGAGCCCTCGAATAAACATCACTCGCTAACCCATATTTTTAAGCTCCATTGTCCCTTTCCTCAAATGCTACAGTCTTATAGTCTATATGTATATAATGATAATAAAAGAGACCATTGCAAGAAAATCTGTTCAAAAATCAGTCAAACGCTTACAGAGTCGATCAGTTTCTGCTGTATTTAGTAATTTCGTAAGTTACTAGTACCTTTCAGTTCCTTGTGTTCACCCCTTGGTTTACCCAAGGAGGTTCAACCAATGTACATTTGTACATGGCATCTTGCTTTCCCGATGTGTTTACTCATTGTTTAAGTGCACTTTTACTTTGCTTCTTTGTCGGTAATTACAATTCATTAGTGGATACCTAACTTCAGAATCATTGCCGTGATGACTTGTTTCCCTTCCAGATTACCCTGTCAGCTGTTTCCTTCCGTTTTCTCTAAATTTAGGGACGCGTGCGACTCTCCAAGTCAAGCGGGCCTTTGTCTTGGGAGCACGCCAAAGGCGAATTATTAATCTGACAGTATTTACTCAAGTTCTCGTCGCTTCCTGTCTCACCATCCTATTTGAGACACAAAAGGAAAACGTTTTGGTTAGGAACCGCCAACACGACACACTATCCCCTGTTCTCACAGGTGCAGAACAACAAGCACACAGACCACCTATACAGATAACTAAATGGCTACACATACAGATAGCTAAATATCACTTTAGCATAGGAAGTATTAAAAAATATTTTCAGAAGCTAATATTTCAAACCCTTTCCTCACGGTCTTAGAGTTTAATCTTTCGGGAATATGACTGTTACGGCACTCACAGTTAATAGATTGTAGGCGAGGTCCATTTCCCAGTGTACGTACTTCCTACACCAGTGAATCTTTTGAATGGAGCACCTGTCTTAAGATATGCTACACATTTTGTGGCTTATAACTGTACACCCCTACTGCGTATCATGGCAGAACGAATTTCGACACGCAGTGGACTACACTGGTTGTAGATCTACATCTGTATTTACTTTCTGCAAACCAAGTTTTAGATATTCATATGCGATAAGTACACAAAAGAATTTGGCACACATCTTGTTTTTGTGAAATTGCGTCATTATTTTCCTGTGACATTATATCCGGAACACATGGTATCCTATCGGCAAAAAAGCCGCAGTGTCTTGTAAGATAATCAAATGCTAACTGGTGAATTTTTACCTCATGACGTGACATAGCTGCGCGATGTATGGAGTTGAATGGGTGCAGGTGCAGGGCGGCTAATAGGACCACACACTCGCGAGTGGGCACCAAGTACGGGGTCCTCCGGGAACAACTGTTCTGAGCGGTACTGGCGTGCTTCCTGATGGCGGGCCTTGTCATCAGGAAAACGCCAGCGGTCAAAAAGAATACTTCTGCTTCTCCTGGGAACTAGTATGCTAGAGTAAAATTGAAAACGTAATTATTACAATCGGATCTTGAAGTAAACGGTCTCAAACAAAGCAAGCTTATCACATTTTCCGTCAGTGCTGTATCCATAAGAGGTCAAGTGACCATGCGGTTGGCGTGTTGAGTCGCTCTTGAACAAGAAACAATGTTTACACTCAAAGGCACAAAAGGTGGCAGGAAGAGGCGGCAACATCTTGAGTGCTACACATTATATTTCCACAATGTATTAACATTAAGTAGAAAGGGAGAAGGCTGTACAATTACAACTTCTAAATGATAATTTTAACGATCTAAACGTGAATTTACAGAAATGCATAATTCACAAGAAAATGTAGCACAGCTGGTTTTGAGCATTAAACTCTACTGCATATATATACCTGTTCTACATCATTTGTTGTTTGTTTGTCATCGTTTGTCAGAAATTGCTGTTTTCAAATACTATAGCTCTAGACAAATTGTCATCTCCTTAAGGTCCATCCCCTTAAGATTCTACAATATTGAAATGCACCCCCTAACAGAACACGATAGTGACATTTTTTTTCCTTTTTATTGTTTCAGTTCACAAACTAAGAAAAAGACAACGGGTAAGCTTCGTGGAGACAGAAGCGGAGACGGCCATCGCGTATGGCTACTGGAGCCGCCCGGCGGCGTTAGAGGGAGCCATCTGCGACTTTCTGTGTGTGAAGGCCACCATCAAGTCACCGGACCCGAACGGTCGCAGTGTGGAGAGAGGTAAGGTCTTTCTTCTTATAATTGGAGAAAAAAGTACATCAATGTGGCAATTAGTGATTGCTAATTTATTATGTGTAATTATAAGTGCAGAAGTGGTAGCGTTGAAATTAAGTGAGATACTTGAGTGCGCTACCACTTTGTGTTGTACTATGTTTTACTGTGTGAACAATAAAAAAATGTGGCGATCTGGAAAAAAAACTAAAATTTACAACACCACCCATATTCGTAGCCTGGTTACCCAACCTATTTTAGCGGAGAGGGTGTAGGACTCTGGAGCTAAAATAGGTTTGGTAACCAGGATACCATATCCGTCCTTTTCGGTTTTCCGCGATGCCTTAGCTAGTGCGCTCACACAGTCCTCTTGAATGTTTAAGGAGATGTATCAAACTCAATTTGGTAACATTCTCGACTGTTACAAGGAAAGCATGCTTAAGTTCAAAACTACCACTTGTTCGGATCAGAGGCCCTGGGAAAACTTGCTGTAAACTGGTCCCAGGGAGTCTCCTGTGCCCACCTGGCCGGAGCCACACGTCACCCTCTACCGACCATCAGATCACCTTACACACGCACAGGCGAGGAAAATGCGCGCGTTAGAACTTCACAGCAAAACGCTTGACTTTGATTCATCGCCAAAGTCCCATCGGCAACATCTGTTAAAGTAAGAAATCAGCTGAGGTCAGCCACTTGACAGGGAAGGTCATGTCTCGGAAATGAAGCCCAGATTGACTCGAGCGAAGGCAGAAACAGTTTTTACGGTGCTAAATTATTTTCCATTCGGACACTTTACGGTTTCTGTGCGATGTGTAATACTCCTTCTCAGGCTGGCGCCACCACGAATAGTTTTCGTTGGCTACAGAAGCCACCATGATAATCCGAAAACATACAGGATGACCACGAATTTGGTAACATGCGCTACCATTGTGGTGTGGTAAAAAAGCAACAAAATGGAGATGTCAACACTAGATCCTTTTTAGTAACCCTTTTGTGTCTATTCACGCACATGTCGGTGAGGTTATGAACTATATATCGGATATCTGCAATTTTTCACCGCCACGATCTGGGAACCAGGAGGGTCGGGATAGCTAATCAGGACTGACAAGTTTTCTAGGTGGTCTGATAGCGAGAGTTGTAGGCAAAATTCCGAATGAGGGACTTCCTTTCGTAAACAATCGTATAGGGTTAGGTCCAAATTAAATCAGCTACGCACACAGAACATGCAGAACCTACAATTATCGGAGTGATTCACAGGAAGAGAGTTGCAGCTGTGATGAAGGATAATGACTTTAATCAACAGTTTTGAATAGCTGTGTATGTGAGATGCCCCACTCCCACCAGACAAACCTACGGGCGCACCATATGTCCACAAAACCACCTGTTTAAACGTTTGGTACGATGTAGTAACGTATAGACACATACATGACTTCTTGTTTTGCACTTTTTGCTGCCAACGTTTTATTTTTTATTTATTCGTTTGGCCGTAAAAAGACAGATTGTACGGCCAGGGCAGCCCAACTAGCCAGGTGGCTATTATTAAGGGCTTGCCCTGCCGACAGGACAAACATTGACACGCACGATACAACAATACAATACATTACATTAACGTGGAGAGGTCAGGGTCATACACCTAAGGCTTATAAGGGTCGCCTAGAGAGTCCCATAGCTTCCTTTTAAAGGAGGCAATAGTGGTGGCATTGCGAGCGTCATTGGAGAGAGTGTTCCAGAGTGACGTTGCTCGGTGAAAGAATGTTCTCTGGCCTCTGGTGGTTTTGGCAAGTTCAACAGTCAGGTGGTTGCTGTTCCTGAGGGGATAGCGAGACTCAGTAGCAGATGCACGGGTTCTGGGTATCAGGGTTTGGAGGTGTGGCGGACAGTGGCCGTTAAGGAGCTTGTACAGGGTGGTGACGGTATGGAATCTCCGTCTAAACTGTAGTGATGGAAGGGACAGTTGGGTGTACAAGGTTTGGTAGGAGGGATAAGGAAGTCCATGTTGTCCACTGATCAGTCTGACAGTTTGGTATTGTACAGACTCCAGTTTCCGTTCGTCGCTCTTGGTGAGTCCCGCCCAGACGATGTTGGCATACTCAAGGCCAGGTCGTGTAATGGTCTTATATAGCCTGAGTAGGATGTCACTTGGCAACTTCTTTCTTAGTGCACACAGTAGGCCAGCAGATCGTCTTGACTTGGTGGAAATTGTATCGATGTGCTTGGACCAGGAGAGTGTGTTCGTTAAGGTGACACCTAGATGTTTGTAACAAGCAACAACTTCCAGGGTAGTTCCACCCAGAGTGACTGGTACAAAGGGCCTTGGGATGTTACGAGTTGTGATGTACATCACCTTGCACTTATCCCTGTTTGCTTCGAGTTTCCACTGTGTGAGCCAGTTTGATACAGAGCACAGGTCTCTGTTAAGTGAGCTGCCAACGTTCTGCACTCATTTTCTAAAAGCTTATCTCTCAAAAAGACCCAGATGATTAAGACGCTAACAAATCGTTCGAATGGACTGGAATCAATTTCAATTAACTCCAGCAGGCCAGGCGACATCCCAAACCGTTACTAATCCTCTCCCCAGTTTCACCAACAAAGAAGCACCTATTATCGCCTTCTGACTGATTGTCGGTAGTAATTTCCTCGGCTATCCTTCTTGTCTCTTCCCCATTATAGCTGTTATCAATGAGTTTAACGCATCTGTAAGCGATTAGGATCGCTGAACCTGGTAGCGTGCCCTTGCCCCAAACGATTAAATCCTAGTCACCTGTAGGGCACCCCGATGTCTTGTCTTAATCCATTATCACCCCACGGTCCTTGACAGAACCTTTGAGCTAGCAAGTGGTCAGTAGAGTAAATTATCACTTGTAAGCTGTGAGGTGTCTAAGAACCAAGTATGCTTTCCTAGTAAAGTTTACCNTTTTTTCCTTTTTATTGTTTCAGTTCACAAACTAAGAAAAGACAACGGGTAAGCTTCGTGGAGACAGAAGCGGAGACGGCCATCGCGTATGGCTACTGGAGCCGCCCGGCGGCGTTAGAGGGAGCCATCTGCGACTTTCTGTGTGTGAAGGCCACCATCAAGTCACCGGACCCGAACGGTCGCAGTGTGGAGAGAGGTAAGGTCTTTCTTCTTATAATTGGAGAAAAAAGTACATCAATGTGGCAATTAGCGATTGCTAATTTATTATGTGTAATTATAAGTGCAGACTGAGTGGTAGCGTTGAAATTAAGTGAGATACTTGAGTGCGCTACCACTTTGTGTTGTACTATGTTTTACTGTGTGAACAATAAAAAATGTGGCGATCAAAAAAAAACTGAAATTTACAACACCACCCATATTCGTAGCCTGGTTAAAAAACCTATTTTAGCGGAGAGGGTGTAGGACTTAGGAGCTAAAATAGGTTTGGTAACCAGGATACCATATCCGTCCTTTTCCTTAGCTAGTGCGCGCACACAGCCCCCTTGAATGTTTAAGGAGATGTATCAAACTCAACTTGCTAACATTCTCGACTGTTACAAGGAAAGCATGCTTAAGTTCAAAACTACCACTTGTTGGGATCAGAGGCCCTGGGAAAACTTGCTGTAAACTGGTCCCAGGGAGTCTCCTGTGCCCACCTGGCCGGAGCCACACGTCACCCTCTGCCTCCCATCAGATCACCTTACACACGCTCAGGCGAGGAAAATGCGCGCGTTAGAACTTCACAGCAAAACGCTTGACTTTGATTCATCGCCAAAGTCCCATCGGCAACATCTGTGAAAGTAAGAAATCAGCTGAGGTCAGCCACTTGACAGGGAAGGTCATGTCTCGGAAATGAAGCCAGATTGACTCGAGCGAAGGCAGAAATAGTTTTTACGGTGTTAAATTATTTCCAGTTCGGGCACTGTACGGTTTCTGTGTGATATGTAGTACCCCTACTACCCCGAATAGTATTCGTTCGCTACAGAAGCCACCATGATAATCCGAAAACATACAGGATGACCGCGAATTTGGTAACATGCGCTACCATTGTGGTGTGGTAAAAAAGCAACAAAATGGAGATGTCAACACTAGATCCTTTTTAGTAGCCCCTTTGTGTCTAGTCACGCACATGTCGGTGAGGTTATCAACTATATGTCGGATATCTGCAATTTTTCACCGCCACGATCTGGGAACTAGGATGGTGGGGACAGCTAATAAGGACTGACAAGTTTTCTAGGTGGTCTGATATCGGGAGTTGTAGCCAAAATTCCGAATGAGGGACTTCCTTTCGTAAACAATCGTATAGGGTTAGGTCAAAATTAAATCAGCTACGCACACAGAACATGCAGAACCTACAATTATCGGAGTGATTCACAGGAAGAGAGTTGCAGCTGTGATGAAGGATAATGACTTTAATCAACAGTTTTGAATAGCTGTGTATGTGAGATGCCCCACTCCCACCAGACAAACCTACGGGCGCACTATGTGTCCACAAAACCACCTGTTTAAACGTTTGGTACGATGTAGTAAGGTATAGACACATACATGACGTCTTGTTTTGCACTTGTTGCTGCCAACGTTCTGCACTCACTTTTTAAAAGCTTGATTCTAAAAAAAAACCAAGATGATTAAGACGCTGACATTAAGTAATCGTTCGAATGGACTGGAATCAATTTCAATTAATTCCAGCAGGCCATGCGACATCCCAAACCGTTACTAATCCTCTCCCCAGTTTCACCAACAAAGAAGCACCTATTATCGCCTTCTGGCTGATTGTCGGTAGTAATTTCCTCGGCTATCCTTCTTGTCTCTTCCCCATTATAGCTGTTATCAATGAGTTTAACGCATCTGTAAGCGATTAGGATCGCTGAGCCTGGTAGCGTGCCCTTGCCCCCAAACGATTAAATCCTAGTCACCTGTAGGGCACCCCGATGTCTTGTCTTAATCCATTATCACCCCACGGTCCTTGACAGAACCTTTGAGCTAGCAAGTGGTCAGTAGAGTAAATTATCACTTGTAAGCTGTGAGGTGTCTAAGAACCAAGTATGCTTTTCAGTAAAGTTTACCTATCATCAGAAGAAATCTTTAAACAGTGTAGCCGGCGCATGTATACATAGGCTTATGATGTTATAAACTGGAGAGCTTTTACTTCAGAACGTGAACTCTGTTTGGTCCACATTACCTCTGTCCTAACCTGTGAACACGAGCTCTTTTGTCATTTGTCCGGTAATTAGGAAGCCGGCGAAAAGCGAAGTTCAGTCAGGCTACTTCTGTCCCACGTGCGAGTAGTTTTTCATTACCAAATCCTGGTCATTATCGAATCCTGGATGTTTGTTTGTGTGTATTCTTAAATGCCACATGCAATGATACGTTTGATGCACATTATTTGTACACCTGGTACTGTTACAATGTTGTACAGTCGCTATCCGGCATATCTTTTGGCCCTCTCCGGAAACAGGTGCGACCACAGTTCGTACAACAGCCACCAGTAGCTTACGAGCACATATTCCGGTTACCGGTGATGTTATCGTTAGAATTACCTTCTTCGGTACCGAGTTTACTTTATAGTGTTTAGAGATCGGTCACATCTGTCAGGCAACATCCAAGCGTGTCCCCGCTGCACGGCAACTTACAAAACCGATTGTCCTTATCAAGGCAATAAGTACGATCAAAGACGCACGACAAAGATAGGAAAGCTTTGAAGTACTAATGTCGTTACAGCCTCTGAGAACTGGATGACGATTCTGCCCTTGTAGGTCATTGTTCGTATGAAGGGTTACCGCACAGTTGTTGTTACAGATACGGTCCAGAAGTTCCAGTTCCAGTCAACACCGTAATCCCCTTAATCCACTTAACTTGATGATTAAACTGTCGTTACTTTACCCTATTGTACACAGGGGTAGATAATGTTATATGGCTTTACGGGGTTCCATAAGAGACAGTTTCCCAGTAGGACTTTTCACAACTTTAAGGTCATTTTTTATTCCTTGCTCTTCATTGTTTCCTTCAGGCTTTCCATGTGGCGGTGATGTCATGATGCATTTTGAATTTTGATTAGATAACGTCATCGCCGGTTATTCCCATAACAGCCGTTAACGGTTTCTCGGAAATTGCCTGGGATAGAATGTAACAGAGGAATATATTAATGGGTATCCAACAATGCCATACATATTAACATTCTTTCGAAGGGCTTCATTGTAAATCATAGCTTAAAATCTAATCAAATCTTGACAGCTTATAAAATATTGCAAAGATAAGTACAATGTATCCCCTATTTTTGTTACGTACTTGGTACTTTAATACTTTAAAGGCATCCTATGCGATTTCAGAGCAGCAAAACTGGAAATATTCTAGGCAGTCTTTATGATATTGACACATACTGCCACATTATCACATTTCAATCAGTATTTCATACTTTAAAACTGCAGAAACAAGCCCCAAGATGAGTCCCTTATTTTCTGGGTGGTACCCTAACATTCAGCCCAGGGCCCTCTCGGTGACCATTTTCCGTCAGAATTTTTGGTATTTTGCTCCATGAGGGATAGTGTGGTTCCAACTCAGTATGTAGATAAGTGACTAATATTTGACTTCGAAAAATCGGGTTTCCAAGCCCTAAAAACTGCACTGGATGCATTTAATAACTAGAAGCCAACTCACGGAGGCCAATATTCTATAATCTTCTTTTTTTTTTCACAGAATTCTTGGTGGACTCCGGCAGTGACGTTGTGACGATTAAGTCGGAAATCCTCGAGCAGCTGAAACTCCCTAAGAAGGGAGACCCTGTCCAGAGTAAAGGTGTGCACGCCACCGTCAAGAAACAACTCCACAGCGGCATCATGGTCATCGGGTCCGAGGAGATACACGTGGAGGTGAGGACGTTTAATTCCAACGTTGGGCAAGATACATATATATACATTATCATTTGTCTCAATGTTGTATATTTTGCCGTCCTCGTTTATCAGGCGTCTGTTGTATAGTACCTAAGAGTATTTTCAACACCCCGCGTACGCCTGGTAAGCGAAGATACATAAGGTACTCTAGTATTTGATGGTGATGGCCTGTTCTATTTAGTCTCCCCCTAAAAATGTGGAGCATATGAGAAGTTATACTATATGATTTAGACATTTACTCATAGCCTTGACAGAGTGGCTCCTAAGCCAGGTTCCCTACGACAGCCGACCCATTTTATTGTAATGTCACAACAATTAACTTTGTGGACCCTGCCTCTAGGTAAGTAACATTGAGTGTTTCATGTGAAGATATTGTGTGTAGATGAACGGGTTTTGTGATGTATAACCCACCCCAACTAACACCCCCTACAGCCCACGTAGACAGACTCCAAGGTAAGTGTTCTAGAAAGGCTGTAAATGAGAAGATCTTGTTCCCAGGTGATGGAGGAAAGCTTCAACTCTATCGGTTGCCGAGAGCTGAGAAAGTTCAGGCACTACATTTCCCCGGAGAGGCACATCTGGATGAAGCGCACGGACTCCGACACGTCCAGCTCCACCATCCGAACGGAGGAACCCCCGGCCTGGGAGATGCAGACCCCCGAAGGGACGGAGGGTGAAGACACCGGGACAGAGAACGGACACACGACCACAGAGTCGTCTGATTCAGACGAGCACGAGAGCTGAGATCCGCGAAAACTGAAAAATCTCCACAGAATCTTGTTCACGTTTTACAGTTCTTGTTCAAGTTGGGCAGTTGCCCTTTGTTCGTGCCAACAAAGTTTACTGTTTTTATTCAATCATGAGATTTATACAACACCTTTCAAACATAACATTATAGCGTTAGGAACCTTTTACAGTATGAAGATTGTATTTTTACTTTTAGAGGGTGTGGAATTGGCGGGGTTTGTTTTGATCTGAATGTCATTGTATATATGTCGTGGAATCTATAAATGAGTGCCAAATTTTGACTGAGCTGGAACCCGCCCATTCCACTCTATTTTGTTGTACGGGTATGTCATATGTCTGTGATATGTCTGTGATATGTTAGTCTTGTATGTGTCACTTGAAGCAGCTATGTGGCAGTAAACCATTCTCGTGCCCTATTTACAACTGTTAGCCGCTAAACGTAATGTCAACATTTGTATAGATCTCCATTCTGTGTTGTTGGAATATGTAGGCTTAGGAAAATGTCTGTATTTCCTAAGACCGTTTACTAGACTTTAAACATCCATTTGTGAAAGGGATATCCCCAGTGGTGTGTGTCTGTGACCTGTCGGCGGCCGGATGACCCTTCTGTCTGCACCTGCACGGCTGTGTGAGAAACTAGGGCCGTGCTGATAGGTCAATTCGTCACGGCGGGTTAACCACGTTAGCGCCCCCTCCCTCCCGGGGCACGGGGAGGGAAATACAAACCCTTTGGACTGACAACTTTGTCAAGGGGTGGTCAGTGGTGACCTGTGGTTTGGTCTTTGATTTTGACGAGACTGGTCAAGTGTTTGAATGGACCTGTTTAGCCCATCAATACATTGCACCCGTCGACTCCAAACCACGAGGCATTGCTATTGAAAATAAGACCCCTGAGCACCGAGAACACTATTTGTGCCTTGGGCGACGACGTGTTCTAATGCCAACATTTCATAAACAGTAAAGCTGTCCCTAACACTTGAATCTTAAGTTACCTAAGATTCAAGTGTAGTTAGGTTGATTCTATCACAATTATCAACATTTTAACCTACGGACCTCTTATCTTTCTATCCGTGCAAAGAACGCCACAACTTCAGGACGCCAACACAATGCAACTTACAAGAGACGTTCTAGAAATCTATGACGATAAGAAGTTATCACTATTGCTATTCGTTCCTCAGGTCATTTCCCATGACGGGATAGAGTCCATTGGCTGTGTGGTGATGCAAAAGTTTCGTCATTTCATAACGCCAGACCTACACATCTGGCTGGGGCCCGTGCGGCGCAGTGCACAGTCGCCGGGAAGAGAGGCGACCGCGACCCGAGGATTTCGTGAGGCGTCTCCGGTGCCGGGCCCTTCTACGAGCTAAGGGCCTGGGACCAAGCTGGAAACATTCCGTTTTTACACTACGTCTCGAAATATACATTTTATAACTATTTTAGATCAGAAAGGTGTTCTGATATTTTCGAAGCCAATGTAATACTGGAAGACCCGTACTGATGAAACAGCAAACTTTTAGAAAATCAAGTTCCAGGGACCAGTATTAGAGTGTAGTTGTATGTCTAGGTCTATTGTGTGATATGTGTTCTGTGGGTGTCAATCAATGATTCAAACATCCGGAAAACAGGATATAGAGCGTCCCACGCACGTGCAAGTGAAATGTTTACTCCAGATAAGGTATCGATTTGCAACACTTGATTGATAGGTATATTCCCAATGCAATTAATATTTCTTCCGGTGGAACATCTCGATAAAACACGAATATTTGTATAGTATGAAACAATCAAATTGAGCTGTCTTAGTGCATGATGCCATGAAGTGGGCAGAAAGAAAAAACTATATCCCGTTTTCTTGAATAAGCTGTGTTTGTAACAAATTGTGAAGTAAACTGGGTTGAGTCGTGTGTTAGACGTAGGGTTACTAGTATCCACCAATGACCACCATGCTTCTTTGTCTTCTTGTGTCCGCTTCTTTGAGACAATTCAAAGGGTTATAAAGCAGAAAGTACAAAATGAAATTGTATTGACCTATACAGCAAATGCCAAGCTTTTAATCGTCACAACACATATATTAAGATTTGATAAACATTTTTGTAGGTTTTACAGATAATTAGCACACAGAATTATAGATGTTCTGCCCAATGATCGTTACGATAGGTATGTGGTGTAACTACCTCCACAGTGTCTTTTGTACAAATACATTGCATTCTGCATTGTTGAAACTAGTAGATGTATTGTGGTAGTAAGTCGGTGTTTTATTGTATTGTTACACTGCTGCAGGCAGCAGGACGCAGTAGAAAAATACAAGTTCGTTCAAAGTTTTGTAGTCCAGCTACGCATCGTGATAACTGTTGAACTTTTATCAATTGCTAGTAGTTAACGAGAAAAAGTTTCTGTGCATTTTTTGTGCTCACAAAGGCATCTTGATCTGATTTGGTATTGTTTTTCTCCTGTTTGTCATAAGTTATATTGGAAGAAAACGCTATGTAGCTCAATGATGTTTTGAGTGATTTTTTTGACTGGAAATAAAATTGTACTGCCGAAATTGTTTCTTTGACTTGAACTAGTTACAAGGGAAGGGTCAATTAATGCCCTACGATACAGATATAGCCGTTTTTCGTATCAATAGTCTGTATACTAGTAGTTGACAGCTAGGTATGAACTGTAAAATCCCAGTCACAAGTTCAACGGCGCCGCTCACCGAAAATACATAATAGAAGGATAGATCAGGACCTAGCGTAGTACGAAGTTCTATTTTAATCCAGCTGACGGGCGCTTGCACCAGCCGGCAGACTGTACGTGTCATGTCGGATAGACTGAAAGATAGGCATCCCTGGAACTAGACATTCAGTATGTTCCTGTATGGGACGTCTCAGCCTGTCTGCACCTGTCCCTGATAGCATCCAAACAATAACCTTGGCAATTCTTTAGCCTGTCCCAAGTTAATACAACTTCAACTTATTAGCTAGAAAATATTCAAAGACGATGGCACAGCCGATGGAAAGACTGTTCATCACAGAAAATGCGTTAGGAAAACCACGTGGTGGTTCCATATGTTTTGTTGCCATCACTTCCGGGTTCCTGGAAAGGTCAGAGGTCAGCTTGCACATGTCTGAAAATGGCGCAATCTCTGGAGACGATTTTGGAGAACTTGCTGGTCCCGGACAACGCTGTCATTCAGCAGGTAGATACATTAGACGTAGCCGAGAAGTCGTCATATAATGTGTCACATGGTGTGCTTCCAATGAAGTCATATGTGAAGGACTTCATGCCGTAAAGTGGCGGGAGTTGTGCAGGAATGGGAGGGGAGGGGCGGAGTAAAAGAATGTGGCGGTACTCTTAACATAATTTTCCCGCCCGAGGCTGTGGTGAACTTGAACCATATGGCTGGTGTGATCAAATGTATCATTCATACACATGTCTCCTATTTCATCATCTTGATGCAGCCCACCAAAGTATAAACATGTGTTTACCAATGTTTGGTGGAATTACTAAATAATCTGCAGGGGTCCCATGGGAAAGTTGAACACTGATCTAGAAACATAGAACTGATTTAGCTCAAGATCTTAAGTACTAGTAAACTAGTAAACGTATGATCAATGAAAAATCCTAACTTCTTCCAAGATTGCTACTGCCGACTGTTACGTATACGTTCGTGCAAAGACTTTCCATTTATAATACGTTTAGAGCTACACTGATATATAAAGATGAAGTCTGACACTTGAAATGCAACATCTGCAGCAACTGTTAATCGTCCCGTTATCAGCATCTGATTCCTTAGTGAGTTGATTTGACCTGTTACCACCATGTGGGCGTGTCTATGGACTGACGAGTCAGTGACACATACTACATGGTAATTATCCCCTGCTGTGAACACGTGTATTACCAATACAAAATTTGTATTGATTGATCACACCAGATCTCAGCAGAGAATATTACATCAGTCTTGTTGAATTATGCAGTTTGTAAAATTTGTTTAAAGCAGTTAATGACTCACAGCTACAGCATCTAACGCATACTACATTGTAATTATTCCCTGCTGTGAACATGTGTATTACGAATACAAAATTTGTATTGATTGATCGCACCAGATTTCAGCAGAGAATATTACATCAGTCATGTTGAATTATGCAGTCTGTAAAAGTTGTTTAAAGTAGTGGATGACTCACAGCTACATCATATGAATTATAATCTTGTAGTAATACTGTAATCCAATGTGTGAGACTTTGGTGATGTTATCTGCTAGTTTCTGCATACATATTGATGGTGACATATTGTGACTCCCAGGCCACCACCCAGCTGCAGGAGGCCTACAAGGACCCTGCCATAGTCCCTGCCCTGTGTGGGGTGCTCGGGTCATCACAGAACCCACAGGTAAACACAAAGCTTCAAGATAAACGGACCGTTTCAAAAACAGTGCAAATTGTAAGATTACTGAACATATAAGTGAGGACCAAGACCGGAGTCACATTAATATATTACTGTTTAAAGACCATTTTACTCATTTTGTAATTCTGGTATTATATACCTGGACCTTTTAATATATCTTATATCAGAAATGGCGACGACAATGATTTTAATGGTTGGTAATTATTTATAAACAATGATGTGTGATCAGAAACAGAATGTAGGAGGAGATTTGATTGACTTTCTTACCTCAGGTTCGTCAGTATGCAGCTGTGCTACTGAGGAGGAAGATTGCAAAGCAATGGAAGAAGTTTGATCAGGAAACTCAAGCCAGGTAAAAACTTAAACTAAACAGGTAGTAACATTACGTATATATTACTAGTACTGGTAACTTCTAGATGCAGTCTGATTTATTGTCATGTTACAGTGATAGGTTAGAAAATGTAGCATATTTTTTGGTTTTCTGATTGTTTCCTTTACCCTGCAGGTCATTGGTTGTAACATCATTATATCAGTCAATGTGGGAATATTTCCTGTTAGAATAAAGCTTATCTAATTCACCTGCTATTGCAATTTTGCCAAAATGTAGCCCAGAATGAAATAATGTCTTGACTCAGGGTGAATTCCATTATTTTTCTTCCTCAGCCTGAAAGCTACACTGCTGCAGGTTTTGGTACAGGAGCCAGAGTGAGTGATTCTTTGTCTTCTATCCTGTTTCATTCTAATCGATGTACCTTTCAAATGCAATTTCTTATCTATTCGTGCACATCACTTGCCTAAATGTTTGATGTTACGATGACTAATCCGTACTCCTGTTATATAGGCGGACAGTGCGACATGCAGCATCCCAGATAGTTGGAGCTGTGGCCAGGCATGAACTACAGGAGGGCAGGTGGCCAGAACTGCTCCAGTTCATACAGGAATGTATCAGGGATAATGAACCCAGCAAGAGAGAGGTCAGCGTGATTACTAATATTACATCAAGTAGATTGTTTTTACCCATTGGAAGTGTCACTATCCATGAATGTTGGAAGTTACAATACCCCCGGTAGTGTTTGGATTAGGGAAATGGTATAGGCACATGTAATACATAGGTAGCACAGTGATGGTGTATTTAAAAATTATCAGTGAAACAGAATTGTACACACTAAATGACGAAAAACTGAAAACTATTATGGGAGACTTTTAGGGAAATCAGTTTTAATGTTACATCTTGCAGGCAATTACAGTGCTTAGTTAAAAAGAATACTTCATTGTTCCACAGAATGTACAGGAATGTTTGACTTTTCAGATGGGGATGTTTGTCCTGAGCACAGTTTGTGACACCTCAGCACAAGGACTGCAGCCCCACTTTGCTTCCCTGTTCGCTCTGTTTAACACCACGTTGGAAGATGTGGACAACCGTGCAGTACAGTTTTACACTATACAGGCCATGACAGCCCTGGTGGAGTACTGCGGAACAGATGAGGCTGTGAGTTGCCGTTTTTTTTAAACACTGGAGATGGGAAGTCATTTCATGCAAGCATTTCGGCAGAACGTCTTGTATAAGGTCGTATTCGCATATGTAAGGTTAAAACTCTGTAGTTTACAAATGTTATGTCGGAAAAGATGTCCTCTGCAACAGCAAAATTCTGATGCAATGGTGACAAAAAATCCAACGAAAACTGTGAAAAATCAGGGTTTCGCACAGGCACAGTGCATTCTGCCAACATGCTTTTCATACACAGTATATTCGGTACATGATGTAAGTACATGATTGACTATACAGCCCTAGAGAGCTAGAAGCAAAGTACACATGTGTGACTGTGACTGTTCAACTCTGACAAAGCTTGTATACAAAGCAGGATTTTTCGGGGGACTTGTATGAAACTTTGCTGTTTTTAGATATGTCAGATTCCTGGAGCATCTGTTTGTTTTGTAGGGAACATTCCAGAAGCTGATTCCTAAGGTGTTAGCAGTGATACGGCACCTCCTTCAGCATGATGAGGTATTTCTTAGCACTTATCTCAATACATTTTGTAAATACATGTGTCTATACATAATGCTATAGTAAAATGACTTTTAATAAAAGTCTTGATCGCCTCTCTTTCATCCTTCCTAGCCCAAGGAATTAAATAGCTGTACACTTGATTTTTATTTTCTTGACTGGTGGGCAAACTGGTGGGAGGACAGTGGTATTAGCCATCTCCAGTCACAGTATTTCTGTCTTGTCTTTCATAGGACCAAGCATGCGAAGCGCTGGAGATATTTGACGAACTGGTGGAATGTGAGGTTACGATCGTGGTGCCACATCTGAAAGACATCATGCAGTTTTGTCTTGAGGTAAATGTTCAGAACTTTTGTAAAGACTGTCGTTTTTTCAGACTATTTCAGAAAGTATCAAAACTCTTTTAGTACTTAATAGATATTTGCCAGTAAGCAGTAAGTGCAAAAGGAAGATTGCAAAAGAAATGGAAAATAACAAATTGTTTTCCCAGGTGTCCAGTAATGCTGAGCTGGGTGACAACATCAGGGTGAAGGCACTGTCCTTCATCAGCTGGCTCACAAGGCTCAAGAAAAAGGTACCCGACCATCTTTCTTAGCAACAGTTTTATCATCCAGACACAAATATTGATAAGGTTGATCGCAAGTGCTAATCTTTTTGCAGACATTTTGTACTGTCAGCTCTCAGGCCAGTCTAGAACGTGATCTAGCATTTGAGTATAAAAAATGACAAGCTGTTCAAACTGTAACAGCAGTAACTGTCATTATGAAAAACTTAAACTGTTCTCCAACTCAAAATTTGACTCACCAGTTTAAGTTTTTCATAATGTAATTTACCAACTCAGATGAACTTTCATGCTGAAGCAGTAACTGTCATTGTTTAGCTTCTCGAGTTAAGTAGCCAGCATGTTTTGTTCCCCTCTACTGACAGTCTATCCTGAAGCACAAGCTGGTGGAGCCAGTCCTGGGTGTGGTGTTCCCCATCATGTGCACTCCTGCTGAGGAGGGGGAGGAGGACCCTGACAACACCTTCATCGACGAGTTAGAGGCCAGCACACCTTCATCATTTGCATCTCAGGTGAGTTTTTTCTTTCTTCATCTCTTATGTTCTAATACTAGCCACAGCTTTTAACATGTGCTTTTAGT